GAATGAAACTAATGCGCTTTACAGAGTATCGTCAGACGTCACCACCGCAGAGCAATGTATAGAGATAGCACGTTTGAGCAATTCCAGAAAAGCAGTGGCAGAGGTAGCTAAGTTGCAGATTCGCACTAGCAGCGCACATTGTTCGTTATGTGACGCACAGAAGATCGCGTAGTCGCAGAAACACATGCAAAAGCGGAAGTTACTGCAGACCAAGTAGCATGACTGAAGGTTGCGCTTGCGCTCCATATCGACTCCTTGGAGAACCACGGCTTGTGTTTGCGCCACCTGCATGCCGAGCTGGCCGAATGCAAATTTATAAGCAACAAGGTCTTTCCCTTTCTCATGAATGACCTATTTATGTGTTCAAGGATAATTGTTTTCCCACAAAGTTCCTGAAGCTGATGCTGCCACCATGTACACAGAGACCACTTTCTTTGTTCCTAAATGTATAACTTGACCTTTGGCTACAGCATAAATACCTGGTTTCATTATGCCCGCCTTACAGTACAATTCAGATTGCTTTGCATTAGTGACTTGTCCTTCTCATTAGCTAAATGATCCTAATTTTTGCCTTATTCTTAAGTCTATTAGGAATGACTTTGTTTCCCAGAGGTACTAGACAGAAATGTTAAAAAGTAGACTTCTGCTAGAAACACAAGTACTTAGTGATTATTTCCTCTCACCACATGTTTGAGACCTAACAAGTAGACAAATCCATTTGATGTGCAGTGCAAAAGTTGTTTTGTTGCAATTTCTCTAATCACATATTGCATGTTATCAAAGTCACATACTGTCTAGAAATCTGCATATTTTGTATTGAGGGTGTTATCTACCACCTCTGTCAACCTAACTTGTAACCTCATTTTAAATAAGAAATCAAGTTACTTTGGTGGGATATATTTTTCACAGATCCAGGTTGATTGGCATTAATTATGTTATCCTCCTTTAATTCTTAATTATAGTCCTGTAGCATCCATTCCATTGTTTTGCATATGATTGACATCCACCTGACAGGTCTATAATTGCCCTCTTTGAAAAGCTGAAACACATTTGCTCTCTGCCACTGTTCTGGAACTGACAGAGTGTTTCAAGAGTTACTGAAAAGCAATGGTAATGGTGCACAGAGCTTGTCAGGCAGCACTTTTAAAAGTTTTGTACGCAAATTATCTGGAGACAGATTTTAAAATTTAAGTCTGCAACACTTTCTGCAATTGCTATTAGAATGTAAAGAATTCAACCCTCGTTATAATGTGACATACCTATATAAATATTTTTGGTTTGTATTTTGACAGAAATTAACTGTTCTGTATATTATATTTTTTTTTTTCATGTAATCACTTAATGGATCAATATGACTGGAGGTTTTTTCTCCTGAGGGATGGATTTAATTCCCTGAAAAAAATCAGAGAGTCAGCACTTACCATCTTTAACTCTGCTAAACAACTCTCTTAACAAGTATCTACACTTCTTCTCTCCTTATTTCCCATAGTTGTTATCAACTTGCATTTTTAGGACAAAATTCAGTTCTTTGTATGAAACCAACATCTTATTTTACATCTGTATCATTGCTATAGTTGCCTGGAAAATAGGCGGTTCAATCTTTAATAGAAAGCAGCAAAAAAGAGAGTGCAAATTATTTTATTTTTAAAAATCAGTGCTGTATGTATGAAAAAAATAATTAACTAAATAATTAATTAAAGAAATAATTGTATTTAAAAATATTACCTCAAAAAAGAGTGGGTAAGTCACTGAAGCAGCAATACTTTTCAGCTACCAGCAGTAGGTGAGCATGAGTTAACCTACTAGTTATAGATGTTCTGAACAGTACAGAACCCA